TGATACAGTATATATATATATTCATCCCTATCCTTCTCTTGCTGTCTGAATCTCGCCCCCCTGTCGTGAGCTGCGATATGATGAAGTGAGTGAGCATGTACAAAATATGGCGACGTATAGGTGTGTGTAAAGAAAAGAAAGGGCCGGGAGGGGCGAGCTTAGAACGGGATGCGCGGGTGCGACGGGTAGATAGAGCTGAGAGAAATATGATCTTCCTCTCGCGATCTGATGCTGTTGTTGGCGTCGTGATCTTCCAGGGCAAATCTTTCTCGCTTCATCCCTTGCAACTTTGACTTGGGTGTCTTGCGTTCTCTCTTTTGCTTTACAATAACTCCGGAAGATTGACAGCTTCCCTTTCTTTTCTCTTTTATAAATATCAGTCAAGCTGCCTTTTAGCTTCTTCTTCTTCTTCTTCTTCTTCTTCTTATATCTTATACGCGTTACGTTTTTTTATTTTGTTTTTGTTTACTTTTAGCTGAATCGTTTTGTCAAAGACAAAGATACCAAAGTTTTTCAAATCCAAGGTTGGTCTATTTTTACTTTGGATTTATTTTACCTTAAAGTGCTAAATAACATTTCAATTATTTTATACACAACAAATTTCGATAGTTGTGAGGTTAATCTTTTTGTGAGCAGTGTCTTATGGATAGAATAAGCATATTTTTTAATGTTGTAACCTATAGCGAAGATCTTTTGTAGTTGATGATTATCTCTGCGAGATAATGAATTTTACATTAGAAGAAATTAACATGCGTTCTCGAGAAAATTAATTTTTTTGTTTTTTCATACTGGTGGTTACGTATGCGAATTTGCGAAAAACTGTAAAAAGATTATATGTAAAAACTGTCATAGATTATATTGGTTGAGATACTGTAGTTATAAAAATTATAAAAATGCTACTGGCTACTGGTTTTAGTCTTTAATTAAGTTTGACAAATTATTTTAGTTCTTTGCAAAAACCCACAAGATTATTTGTGGAGCTGATAGTACACATAACCGTTTAATAACTATAGGTCGAGGAATCGACGTAATCCGGTAATATGTACGAGCCTAAGCTGAAGAAAGCCTATAAAACTTCGATGACAGTGGGTAGTTGGATGAGACACATTTCTCAATTTGATATACATTTTCTTTACCATTATACAAAAGTCTATATACATACTAAGTGCCAAGAGAACGCGTATGTGCAGATAGGGAGATATGTTCGTGTTGACCGATTGTATAAAGCAAAATTGTTACCCTCTTGTGAGAACATTATATGCAAATGTACTAAATATTAGCTAAAAAAAAGTTGTTAATATTTTACCGTTATTTTTTAAAATTTATACTTAATATAATTGTGTGCCATTGTAGTTTATGATCTATTAGGTTCTGTGTGCATTCGTTTTTTAGAAATATTAATTTCACGCCGCGGGAAAAACTCTTTCTGCTTGCCATGATGATTCAATTGTTTTATCTCGAGGAAATATTAATGAGTTCACAATTATCATCGAAACGATTTATGTATGATCGTATTTTATCATTCAATTGCCAGGTATTGCAAGGGTATGTTTCAAAAAAAGGTGCTTACTCGTGAAAGGTAAATTTTTTTATCTTTTCGTCCTACATCTCAAGAGATTCTCATGCTATACTTTGTTGTTTATACGAATCATATGAATCTCGAAAAACAATTTTCTCACAAACTCAATTTTTTTTTTTTTTTTTTGAAAACTTAAAATAAATACCATTAAAATTAGCGTTTCGTATGTAATAATATATTTACTTTTTTTCTACATTATATCAGTCTATGATCCTCGTTTCTTAACGTTTCCTTCTTGAAATGTCACAAATAAATATTTGAAAAATCTATGTACATGATATATACACTTGAATAACATTTTTCATGTTAATATATTTCAACCAAACACAGGAAAAAAATAGAACCAAATTTCGATATTTTTCACCACTGTTTCAACCTCAATCATGTGTAAATATTACTCTCCGATACAAAACACGTATAACCAAAGGATCGATGCCTCATGCATATTTGAAACAATAGATTGGCTCGCTCGTTTGATTATAGCATTGACCTGGCCTGTATATGTTTGTATATTGGACAACTCACGGACGTACCTGCCCTCAAAGTCGCACATACGAGAATTACTGCAATGATAACGATCGCACCAGTAGAATAAAAGTAGCGCACGGCTTCTTTTTTTACGTACACAACTTGCGATATATTCCATTTGATTACGGAGGATCGCTCTATCGCGTGCGAGCTATTGTTTACCGTCGCATCGGCGACCTCCGCGCAAATTACTACCTGCGCACTTATATGTAAGTACATGTACGGACGTACATATCCATACAAGTAATATTCGTTTCTGTCATCTTGTTCTGACGTCTCCTGATAAGTGTGGTGTTTGTCGCTCACGCGAAAATGTATTGACGAAGCCTCGCGTTGAAAATGATATAACGCGCGTGTGTACACGCGCGATAAGCTGAGTCGAGGAAAAAGATTGCACGAGGCATAAGCTTGTGTTTTTGTGGTATAATTTTTACGGAATTTCAAATTTTACGTCCATAGATGATTTATCGCTCGAGCGAACTAATGGATGAAAGAGGTACGATTCAGTGCAATCGTTGCGCAAAATGTATGATTCATAACAAGATGAGTGATGACCGCGAGTTTGACCTTGCAGATGAGTACAGAACGAATTACCAAACGTTGGAACACCACAACTCGTACAATTTATTTTCCTATTACATCATTCAAAATCGTGTTTACACGTCAAGCGCCAAACACGAACCACTTGAGGGCCTTAAAAAAAATTCGCACGTAGCTCCAAACAAGATATCAATCCCCGATTGGCAATACTTTGGTTCGCTCTTCCACTGCATTGGTCGTGCAAAGCCACGCAATAAGTATATAATCACCGAGTAGAGCCCTTGACAACATCAGTGGTATTCAAATTGAGAAAAAAAAGGAGTCGCCTAGAAAGGATAATTGCCGAGGAAATCTTGGAGCATCAGGAATAGCAGCCGGTATACCCGATACGTGTAAATCATCGTGCCATTATTGGACGCTGGCTTAAGCGCACACACGCACGTGCGCTGCACAGGATAGGAGGGAAGGCTGCAGTGCATGGGGACCCATTGTGTGTACGTACATGTACCCAATGAATTCTCGTTTGCCATTGGGTGGCTGGTGGAGATCGCGGGGACGTATCGCCACGCGGGATAATCCGCAGAATCCGCTTTCAACTGCGCCCCTGTACCAATATATGTGGGGCCCCAAAGCCCATTATGCGCGTGCGAAAAGGGAGGGATGATGCTAGAGTATACACATACGTGCGTGCGTTTGCAGTATGGCGGCCTTTTATTATTTAACGGTTGTCTTATGAGGAGGGAAAAGAGCCTTATTGTGCAGTACTTAGGGTCTTCTTTCTTTTTTCGCATAGTTATTGCAGACGCGGATATGACTGCTGTGTTTAATGCAGTCGTGGGCAATTTGTCACGGACGAGTGAGAGTCCAAAGCCTTTTACTTAGATTTTTCATGCTGTACGGCTGCTGGTATGGGGATAATGTGTGGGTAATCGTGAATTTCACTCGTTGCGTGCGGTCAACCGTAAGTGTTGTTAGTTATTTGGTTTTCACTTCCGCGTGCAGGAG